GCCCCACGGTCGCGCTGCGCTCCGGGGCCCTTCGCCGTCATTTAAACGAGTTTTCTTCAGCCAAGTTAAACACCGATCGTAGTGGGGCTCCTGACACACACATGTGAGGGGAGGTGCCACGAAGCCAGGGGTTATTTTTCATCTCATTCACTAGGACTAACTCTATGTTTGGTTTGTTTTTTCTTAATTTTTTTACATGTACTCAGCTACACTTTTTTTTTTTTTTTAACATACGCTAACTCAGCTTTCCCGAGACAAGGTGGGTGACCTGCCAGTGAAGCTGGTACCACCTGAGAGACGGTGAGAGGTAGAAGTGGCTTTTTTAGTTGTATCGAACAATTCAAAAATGAGTTTGGCCATAGCAGTGAACTTTCCATGAGCGCTGAAATACAGTCTGGTTCATGAGGAAAAAAAGCAAATCCCTTTGGTTTTTGTTTCCTAGGCTGCCGTTTAGCCAGAATCTGGGAGTCTGCTGGCCATCAGGAACAAATTCATGTGGTTTTATTGGGTAAACTTCAGTTACCCAATCTAAACAAAGTGAAACCAAAGTACCAAAATTAATGAAGTTTACCATAAACCACTTTACCTGGTATTACTCTCCTGTTTAGAGGGGACAGTGCAACACCATCCACCTTTTCTCTCATTCCTCTGGCAGCATTGTTTCTTGTGTGGTTATGTCCAGTAAAGTCCACCTTCACTCTGTCCCTACATTTTGATATTTAAGACATCCCCATAGCAATCATAATCCTGTTCTGTATTTTATATATTTGCTTAGAAAAGTATTTTTTATGCAATTATGAACGATAGGAATCTTTGGGAATCAAGGCTTTGAAAATACTTTTTAAAAACAGTGTGAATATTCTGGTTATTTTACTGATCCTAACCCAAACTTATCTTAAGTCCCAGCAAATTTAATCAGTACTGTCACGGGAACTAGAAGGAGCTATGAGTTTCATTTTAAAAAAGAACAAAAAACCAAAAAAACCCCAAATGCTAATATTTTGGCCACAGGGTGTTTCCTGGCTGTTCTATAAAAAAACCCAAAACACACCAAGTTCATCAGATTCTGCAGTGCGAACAACAGAGGCAGATGAACAGCAGCTAACCTGACATTTTCTTGTTCCATCTCTGTCTCATTTAGCATTAGATATCCCCAGAAGCAAGGGGACTGCAGAGAGTTCATTTAAAAGGGTCTTTTTTTTCTTTGTTTTCTTTTAGGAGCTTAATTGCAGAATGTAACAAATAACTGGCTTAATTTTGCACTGATATCAACAATATATCACATAAAAAGTTCTTACCTTTTTGATAATATTCATCCCTGCTGAAAATACAGATTTTATCAATTTCTCGATCTCAAGAGCATTCAAGCACAGAAGTATCTGATGTATCCAGCTTCCTTCTGGTTTGTTCATAAGGAGAGAAAAAAAAAAAGAAGTTTTACATTACAATTGTCAACTTAATATAATTCCAACTATTTTTAAGATTATAATTTTTTTTTTTCCTTAAAATTAAGAAACTTAACACTTAACCATTACTTGGAACGTAGTTCTGGATAGCATCTGAGAAAGGCTTTTTGACATCAAATGGAGAGTCAGCTACTGAACTGTCCATGTTTTCTTCAGAATTTACTGAAGGAATTGCTATTGCTTTTGAATGCTGGTCACTGTCGTGTTCACTGTCTACAGCTGCATTCATTTCATGTTCCTTTTCTGATGTTTTTTGTAGTAGCTTTCTTCTACTGCCTACTCCTGCAAGTAATTGTGAAGGGAAAACATGCTTATTTTCAGAGGATTCAACTTACACACACACTTACACTTTTATAAGATATTAACCTCTACAGAAATTTTGATTTTTTTATTTTCCTCAACGTGAAGCCAAACAGTGGAGTGCTACATCACAGTAAAAATGTGCTACAGATTTATTATTTAAGAAATACTTGTTCAAGTAATGGTCTCAGAACAGAGTTTGGAAGATAGAGCTTTAAGCAAAACTGGTGTTGTGGTAAAGTAGTTAAATTCAGTGTTCAGGAAAAAATATGCTGGGTTTTGATAGCCTATAGGTTCCCTCTTCAGGATTAGTAGGTCTCTTTTTAATATTATATCCAAATATAAGTGGGAAAAGCTTTAAAAAAAAAAGAACTTAAAATGCCACGTAGGATTAAAGATTAACAACTTCCTACAAGATAACAAACTTGACTGCGAAATACAAGAAACCACAGGCATGTTCATTGTTCATGCAGAAGTATGACCGAAGGCACCCAGCTGCCTCAGTTTCAGTGACTTGGAGTAAATTTCCTGAAGCCAATAAAATACCATTTTCAAAAAACCCCATGTCTTGCTTATCCATCTAGAAAAAAAACCCAAAACATTTACTTCAAGCCAGTATTGGCCAAAGATCCACATCACAAATAGTCCAATAATCAAAAGTCAGGAAGAGCGACTGGCTTTTAAACCGTTACCATTATATTAACTCAATCTGTACTATCAGATCCTCAGAAAATAAAAGGTCATTACCTAGTATGAGTTAGGCTCACTACCTCTTAACTTCAAACCACCAGGAGGAAACAGTGGTGTATTTTTTTTGTTGTATTTTTTCCTCAAACAAAGCATATTTTGTTCTCGCTAAATCACTGTTAGTGAAGCATTAGTCCAGTACCTTTAGCTGCACTTTGGGCTGCACACTTAATTGTTGTGACAGACAAAAGCTCTGGCAGCTCTAGAAGCACACTCCTTTTTTCCATACGTTTTTCCTGGCTAGTGTGGCAATTGTGCCCCTTTTGTGCAGACACACCGTTTGCTTCCCTTGCATAACGCTGTCTTTACATGAGTCAGCTGTGATTTCACGATGAACCTTTTCAGATTGCTGGTGCAGCTGCATCAGTTTGCTTCCCTCACAGAAATGCTCTAAGGGTTGCTTAACGTCTTGTTTTAACTTTAAATAAAATTGTTGGAACGTACCAATGGGTTTGGTAAATCTGAGTGTTTATCCTACAGTATTTGCCTGGTTTTGGGGACATTTAATTAAGTATTTTTTCCAAAATGCCAAATTGTCCTTCCTCAAATTTATCTTGCATGATTTCTAAATTGATTTCATAATTTTCTGTGCATTCTACAGACTTAGTAGTATCTTGTTCAGATTCCTGTTATCTTCACTCCATCTCATTCTTCTGTGCAGTGTTTAATTCTACTCGTCCTAGTGTGATCGCTATTTTCATTTGGGGTTTTTTTGACAAAATATGTATCCTCAGACTTTTTTTCTACAGGCTTAATTGTTAGTTTTACAAATACATTTTCAAAGAACCCTGATATTATGGTAAAAATACTACCTGGAACTCTTTATGCTAGAATATAATTTTTATTATTTATATTTCTGGACTTTGACTCTCTCTGATTTTCAGATTCTTTCTTTTTTTTTTTCTTTCCCTCTCCTATCTTGTTTTAGTAGCAGCAATTCATTTTTCAGTATTATCCATCCTTTCAGTTACAGCAGCAGCTTCTTTTTCAACATACACTTTATCAGTCAGGTTTCTGAGCAATCCCAGATTGCCAGGATTTAATCAATCTGGTTTTTTTAATAGCAGCCTGGCTTTCTAGTTTGAGGATTTTAGGAGACACTAACTATAATGCTATTTCTTTTTTGTTTAAAAATTTTCTTCTATTTTAGAGCGCTGCTGGGGTAAAAGTTCATGTTCAATCAGACTGATATCATGTGACTACTCTGTTACTTTTATTGTCACTAAATTTTCTATACAATTTTTTTTTTAACTTGGATTTAGCTGAAGACTTTGGTATTACTGTGCCTTTTGAAGTAGTGTTTGATGATGCCTTCCAAAACTCAGATTAATTTTCTATACTTTTGTATCTTGCACTGTCATAACAGCTTGAATTGGGGGGCCTAAATCTGATGATACAGAATAATCTTTTCTTTGACTATATCACGTGTGATTTTTATATTTCTTTCTAAGGGCTGGATTAAGACTGTCTGTCCTCTGACACAGGTACCAGAAGCTCATGTTGGGAACATGAATCTTCCAGCGTTATTTCTGCTTCACCTTTCTGATGATGGTGCATGTTCATAGGAGTTTGTTCAGTTTGCAGCTTCTCTCCTGACAAGCTCTCAGCTAGAGCATCAAGTGTTGTCCTGTCTTTTACTGATCTTGTAGATTCTGTTGTCTTGTTTTATTTCGTTTTTCTTCCACTGCCCTGTTTGTTATTTTGCACTGCCAGCTGAAAAGAAACGTAATTCTCTTTGGAGGCAGCTGCATTCCTGTTATCCGATCTGTTATGTTTAACCTTCTGATTTGAGGTCCCTTCAGTTTCTTTTCCCCACAGTATTTTATCAAGGCATCTACTGAAGCCTTTTTTTCATCATGGAAGCTTAGTTCTTCTATTCTCAGCAAGCCGATTTTACCTTCCATTCTGAAACTCCATATGTCTTCCAAGAGGCCAGTTTCTTCTGAAGTTGTGGTACCTGTGAAACTGAAGCCACTAGATGAGGGATGAGGAGAGAAAGTTTGATCTGGAGTAAATTCTTGGGACTCCTCAGATTTCTGATCCTGTTCATCATTAAAAATAAGCTGACTGAAATATTTGATGTTTTCATAAACAAACAGTGGGTCATTTTTATTCTCTGGTTTGTGAATTTTCTTTTTTGCGTCACCATCCATTTTGAACTGTCTTTTCAATGCCAAATTTTGTTCTGTATCACAGCATTCCTCTGGTTTGCCTTTCTCAGATGTTTCCAGAGAAAGACTCGGCTCACTGTCACATGGAGTCTTCTTGATGCCCAGATGATTGTCTGCAGTTCCTGGTAGTTCCCCGTAACTTGGTAATTCCTTTTCTGAATTTACAGATTCTTGAGTACAAGTGTTCAGGTTATTTTGCTCTTTTTGCACTGCTTCAACTGTTTCCATTTTTGATTTTCCCAGCAGATGAGTTCCAATTTCCACCATGTTTTCAAAATTTAATTTTGAAGGTAAATGTAGACAATCTTTGGAGACAGGCTCATTATAATAACCTTTTATATTTGCATTTTCCTGACTTTCAGTACCCTTAGAAACATGTTCTTCAGCACTGGAATAACTAAACAAGGGTACATACTGTCTTTGAGATACTTCAGGTTGTACTGGTGTTTCGACAGATGATAATATTTGTGAAGCATCACTATCACTAACTAATTCGACATAATGTTTTGCTTTTTCATTACTGCATTCATTATTTTGCACAGCTCGTGAGGAAAACAGATTGCTATCTTGGATTGCACCCTCATTTTTTTCAGACAGCTCTTCGCTAACTCTCCGATTTACTTGTACTTTCATTGCTCTGTTATTATTTCCTTGCGGTATTTCAATAGCATTTTCAGTTTGAGGGGCTTCTTCACTAAAAATTACATAATCTTGCAAAGCCTGCACTTGCTCTTCTTTGGCTGCTGAACTCCGAAACTTCAGTATGTCTGCAAAATGACTGAAAGAGAAGAAATGGCTCTGCTCTTCAGCTATGTCAGGCTTTTCTTCTGCATTTTTTGTGTCTGAGGGATCACAGTTCTGAGGTAGGCTAGGAGGAGAAGAAATCTGATCTGATGCAACTGATTCATGTCCCTGTTGATAATCATACATGTCCATATTATAATTAATAAACTTATAGATATTTGTATACCAACCTGACTGTCCATGTTTGCTTTCTGACTCCTGATTTCTCTTTTCAGCTTCAGTGTTCTTCAGCAGTTGGCTTTCTGATACCAAGTCCTGGTCTAAACTGTAAGGTCCAATTGGCTTCTCTTTGTCACCTCTTAGTATATCAAAAGATGATTGTGTGCTATTTGAGGCGCTTTTGGTGTCATTAAGGGTACGCACACTTGCTGGTATCTCCCCAGGATCTGGCCTGTTACTGTTTGAATCTATTATTTCTTTTACATAAATCTCTTCATCTTCTTCATCTGTCACTGCTTTATCTGCCTCCTTTGAGTCTATGTCCATGTGTGATTCTTTCTGGTCTAAAGTCTGCACTTCTTCATTCTTATTTGCTTCATCCTCTGTTTCTCTGCTTTGCTGATCTTCCATAGCAATTGTATCTTTCCCAGCATGGCCAAAATTAAGAACATTACTTAAACCCAAATTAAACCAATTTGATTTGGTTTCTTGGCTTTCACTCTTGTCTTCTTCTGTCAGTAACTCTGTGACTGCTGTTTCCTGTTCATTCTTGGAATGTCCAGGTACACCAGAAACATCATGGATTTGTTGATCATTTTTTTCTGATGCCGAACCAATATCCACATTCTCTTCACCAAAATACAGAAAGTCAGTAAATCCACCTTGAAACCAACCAGATGCTGGGGGTTCGTCTTCCTCCTTAGCATTTGGCTCCTGTAAGTAATTTTCAGCAGTTACCACTATTTTTCTGCCTCGGTATGTATTTTCTTCTAAAGATTCAGTAACGTCTTCTTTTAAGGGCTCTTCATCGTTTTTAGTTCCTGTGGTGAACCATCCTGCCATCCAACTAGACTGAGTTGGAATGGGTTCCAGTGGGAGACTATTTTGCATTTGTGGCTCTTCAGAATCATCTTTTCTGTTCTCATTTTTTCTAACCAACTCTTTGCTTGCAGACTCCTCCTGAGTGTGAGATTCCCTGGATTCATGTTCAGCAACTGATTCAACTCTTTCTTCCTTTTGCATGGAGTCTCCTGTATGCTTTAAGAGTTCATTTTCATGTAGCTCCGCTTCTGCATCAGATGATGAATATTCACTTTCTTTGTAGCGATCGTGTAATGTGCTATCTTCATTTTCAAAAGCATACTTATCTCCATGAAGACAAAGGAAATCAGCTTCCTAGAAGAACATTATTAACTTTTAAAATGTTTTCATGTGTCATGTGCTACAGCACTGTGTAGCACAGTGATATATCTTTATTCTCTTTCTGTGTAGTTACATGTGCGTATGACTTTACACAAAGGACTGTAAGTAATTATATTATTCCTAGTGGTTCTATATAATTTATTAGACAAAAATTATTTAGAGGACATTAAACATGCAAATCGAACAATAATGAAAAAAACCATGTTTTGAATTATCTGAAATAAAATAGGCATCAACACTGAATTTCTAACTGGATATTAGATTTTCAGCTGCTGTGAAGGACATTGGAAAATCTGGTGATGTTGGTTTACCTTAGTGAGCACTTCAACTTCCTCTGCAATAAAAACTTCCTCAACCTTCACGGCATCTTTTGGGAAATATCCAAAATCCTTTCCTTTCTGTAAAAAATGTAAAAGGAATGAGAGCATTTAAACTTCATTGATCAGTATGTTAGGTGCTTGCCTAAGTGCTAGAAAAGTATGAATGAACAGTAAGTTTATAGGACTACCCCCTGCCCTCTGCATTTTCTTTGGTCAAAAGATTGGTTTATTTTTCCTTCACAAAAATGTCTCATTTGCCATTTTAGAAAGCAAGGGGAAGTATGTTACTCCCTGCTGTTATTTTCTGTATTATTTTTATGAAAGCGTGTTTGTGCAGAACCAAACCAGTAGCCTTAACACTGCTTCAACTGAAGACAGCATTGTGTGCACAGATGGTCTCAGCCAGCTTCTACTAAAATTGGCTGTGAATTTCCCATTGACTCAAGTGGGAGAGAAACTGTGCTTTGATAACTAACGGCCCATAATAAGTTACAAGAAAAGTAGGATATGAAATGAAGATGGCAATGCTACAGAAAATAAGTAGATGATAATGCCCCAAAAAATCAAGCAAGGGTCAGTCTGACCAAGAAACCAACCGCTAGCTTTACATCAAACCACTGCACATAGCCTTTAATGGAGGAACAGATCTTGGAAAGCAAGGAAGAGTGAGGTACCTGCAAAGATACCCTCAGATATAAAAAAGGAAGACAGAATTTCACTGTTAAACAAAATCTTCTGGTTGAAGCAGTTACACAGTTTACTAGCAGTTAGATTTGGATCAATGTGTCCATTCCTTCTTAGCTGTAACATAAGTACATGGCTGATCTAACTTCATTGTCAATCGTTCCAAATCATTAAATATCCTTTATAACTTCTCTGGGAACTTCCCTTGAGCACTGAACTGTGAAGTCAGGTCCGAATACTGGATCGCTGCTTAAGCAACTGTAAAACCTTCTTACCCACAGACCTGTAGGTAGTTACCTGACCCAACAGACCTGAATGCTTTGAAGGGAATCAGATTAAATAATTATAGCCAAATAATTAGAAGAAGGAGACAGAAAACTTGGATTCTGATCTTGACTTTGTTTCTCCATGAGTGATCTTTGCCACGATTTTATTTTCCCTTTCTACATAAAGACAATAACAATAACCCGTCTCCCAAATACTGTATTGATCCGTGACTGGTTAATATTGCAAAAGAGATGGGAGATCCCTAGAAGCAATCGGACTGCAGTTATACGGCACTTGTTAGCTATTACTATACTATCTAAATTATTTATGGGGAAAGTCTTTCAGGCTGAAGTACTTACACTTCCTGTCCACAAATTTTCATTTTTCCTTGAAAGTTTGGAGTATACCATAATCTCTTCCCCTGCTTTGAAGTTCAGATACCGGCAATCAGGCCCTAAGTAGTCTGCAGTGGCTTGAACTCTGCTCATCGCCGCTGGAATAGCATGGAGAAAGAAAGAAACAAATAAGTATATCAGCCATTTTGTCTGAAGTCACATTACTGAAGGAGTCTGATATATATAAATACATGAAGATGTTTTTTAATACATCAGAATGTGCTGTGTTATGATACTAATCCATTTATATCATCAAGTGGAAAGCAACTAATGCAAAAAGCAGCCTTATCCTGTTTTCTTTCCCATTTACTACAGACATCAAGGAGAAAAGCTCTGGTCCTATATGGGTATTTTCCAGTCCTTATTCAGACAAGCTTTCAATGCTGAAATACTTGTGGAGAATTAGCAAGTTCAACTGCTAAAGCCAGACCTAAACAGCTGAAAAATATTTCCCAGGCATATTTATATTTGTATATTTGAGAAATTCTAAGTTAAATCTAATAATTATTTCAGGGATTTTGTCCTGTATTTTGAATACATTTATCTTAGGAAGAAAATAGGTAAGTTTAAGCAATAAAAACCTTAATCACACTGTCAAAAACAAAGGTTCTAATTCAATTTGAATAATTTTAAATTCTCTTTGTCTCCATCCCTGTCTCCCCACAGAAACCACTACCGATGTGCTCTGGTCAGTTTGGAGCCATTCTACATGCTGATCCACAAAGACAGACATCTCTCAGCATCCAGCACCCACTGAAGTCAGTATGGCCCCACAGGAAAATAAAAATCCATTAGCAGAGGAAATCTAAGGCCTCTTCCACCTCAGGACAAGCTACCCACATTGAAAGTGCAACACTTGAGGCTGCCAAACCAATGAGAACAGCTTAGAAACAGCTTCAACTACATACAATTATGACAGGTTTCACAATGGTAATCAATGGATAATAAATGGGGCATTATATATTGCTGCCCACTTGTGATTCAATGGCTCTGCCTCCTGCAGAGCTATTTACCCCCCAGGAACTCCATAACTAGTTACTGCTCTTACTTCATATTAAAGAATAAAAAATAAGTAAAGGGGATAGATTAAGTGTCTTTTGTTAGAAGGATTACAAAAAACCAAAACCAAACAGTTTGCTTACAGTAGAAAAAAAATCAAAGTTTGCAGAATGAGCAGTGAATGTATTATAAACACAAGATACAGTCTTCTTTCTCAGTTTATAGCCTCCTTTTTAAAAAATTTCTTTTGTACACCTAAAGAATGAGTTAAAAGTACTTGAAAGCTGCTTTATACTGCCTGTTTTGAGAAAACCTGAGAAAAACTAGCTATTGAAGAGTATTTTTACTGAACTTTGATCTTTATATACTTACACAGCACAATCCAGCAAGTATTTTCTTCTCTTTTTGTTTGAAAAGTTTAAACCTATTGCTCACAAACTTAGTATATTGACAACATTTTCTATGGCTACTCATTTTCAGTCTGTTTCATTGCTAATTTCGACATTATGGTTTGTAATACCTGCACATACACCACAGACTCCCTTTGATTAGAAAAAAACCAACAAACTTTTTTACTTACTCTCACATTCCCGATCACCACACTTCTTCCATTCTGAAAGTACCTTTGAACTCTGCAGACTTGTTAAAAATGAAACTACTAATAGCAGAATTCTGTGATCCAAGATCCTTGACATTGTAGATTAAATCTAGAATGGACTGAAACTGTGGAAACTGCATCGATGTGCAGTTAGCAAGAATATTCTATATTATTAAAGTTGCAACAAACTCACAATCCTATTTTCCTTCTCTCATCTGCTCAAACAGAAGTACACTGTGCTAACCTGCTAACAATCTGCGAAGTCAGGTGTCCTGATTATACACAAACGTTTAATAATTAACTAGGTTCTGATAGCCAGGATGATGTTTTGAATACAAAGAAACTAGTTCTGGTCACATCAAAACTGAGCTTCTATCACATGTGTTCTTTCGTACCGAGTTTGTGGAAGATAGTGTTAGATGAAATTCAAGAACATTTGTATTAGGATTTTTTCTGGATTTTGAGTGCATTTTTAATATACATCTTCCATCTGATTTTAAGATGGACTATCAATTTTATGCTTATATTGATTTGCATGATTGCTAATATAGCTACTGACAATTTTCTAGCTTTTTTGTTTAATAAACTATACTTTGTGTGCACATATGTTTTAGTTTATTTATGGGTGGTCATTGGGAACTCAGAAATTTTTTCCACATATTCTTTTGGAGTTCTCTCATGCGCTAGATGCTAAGTACAATCCTTGAGTGTGGGGAATACTTACTCAACTCCAAAGTCTTTTAAAGGTGCTTTGCAGTTTTCAGTCTCTTAAGACAGCTAGAAAATCCATATGGTATCTCTACATCATATATCACAGAAAAATAAACTAAAGCGAAGCAGATGGTATGTCCCGCTTTTTAAGGAATACCCTCTCCATTATTATTATGGCGTTATAAATAATGTTTTCTCAAATACAGGCTATGCTTTAGAGTAGTAATTATGCAGGGAGTTGTATGGGTTATCAAGCACTGGGACAGGCTGCCCAGGGAAGTGGCTGAGTCACCATCCCTGGAGGTATTTAGATGACGTGTAGATGTGATGCTTAGGGACATGGTTTAGTTGGCATAGTGGTGTTGGGTTGATGGTTGGACTTGATGATCTTAGAGGCCTTTTCCAACCTTAATGATTCTATCATTCTATATAGATATGAAGTTGTGCTATAAATGAAATCTTGCAGAGGTTTGTGTTAGAAGTAAGCTTTGCTTCAAAGGCTTCACATTGTTGTCCTGCACTTCCTTGGTGACCTCAACACAGTATGTATAATTTACTTACAAAAAAGGCTTCACCTTTCCTTTCCCACACTCCTGCATGAGGTGGCCTCTTCTCTCTCCCATCTTGATAGCACCCCAAGAATCTGCCCAGCCTGATAATATTGCAGTCATATGCTTCCTAGTAGGCCTGCCCCTCCTTCAGTCCTGAGCATGACTCACACAGAATCTGCTCTGCTTTCTCTTCCCATGAACCTATAACTTGCAGCATGGTTCCTTCTCCTTCCTGCTCCACAACCTAAACCTGCCAGACACTGGTGCTTGGCCTGAGGTACTGAGCCAGCAAACAGATCATCTACTGCAGGCTGGGAGCGAGGGCACAAAGTGAACCAGGGTCATGTTAACCAGCAATGTCCTGCAAACAAAAAAGTCACAGCAGGTGACATGTCCGCCAGTTGCAATCTAACACTTTGGCCCCATCCTTTGCCACATGACCTGGTAGTCAGACAGGCCTGTCCTATGACCTGGTACACCAGCTGCCTCTGCTGCTGGGTAACCTACCAGAGCGCTGGCTTCTGCACCGGGGAAAACACGCTGCAGAGTAGCTCCCCCACAACTTGCTCCTGACTGGTTTGATACAGCCCCATCCCCAGAATCAACATTATCTCCCCATCACTCCCCTGGATCTTGTGCTGCTTAGAGGGTCAGTGACTGGGCACTTTCCCTGGGGTCCTCTAGATTTGTCTGTAGGAGGTAAAAGGGGAGAGATGGAATATAAAGCAGCTAAAACATGACAAATGCAAAAAAAACCCCTGGTGAACAGAAAAGTAGGGTGGGCATATATATTTTTTTTTCTTTCCCAAGTCTCTACAGACTAGGACGGATTGATGAGAAGGAATATACAAGAAATTTATATTGGAGGGACTCTCTATACATACTAAGTGTTGTATAAAATAAACAAAATGGACAATATTTTTATCCCATTAGGAATAACAGCTGGTCAGAAGAGTCTTTCATAATGTTGCACACCAACCACGGAACATGGGACAAAAACCAACAATGGGCCTAGAAGGGTTAACAGTCCCTTTTTGAGACTGGTAACATGGAGCTGATTCACCTAAAAATGGAAAAGTCAGGTGTACTGACACTTAAAATTACAAACTTCAAGTCTGTGTGGGAGAACAAGCGATCAGACCCACAAACTGAGATCTGCACATTATTACTGTATTTATCAAAATAGTTCTGAAAATGGCTCTGACTTCAGTTTCATATGGATACCCAAACTCATTCTCAAGTCTGTATATGGAGATAAATCATTGCAGCTCATCCTAGCTACTCAGTTTAATCTGCATCTGCAACTTTCAACTTATGCTGGGCACTGCTCATTGTGTACCTTAGTCTCAGCAATCATTCTTCTAGGTTTGAAGCTGTTAAAAGGCTGATGAGCACTGCTCTGACCTGTGTTATCTGTTCCTCTAGTAACTTCAATAATAAACCATATTTACATAAAATATTATTTTGTTCTAGGTGTAAATCCTATCCTTGCAGATGTTATACAAGTATAACTTCTAATCACCTTTGAACTAAAGTCAAAGATTCATGGAGTTTATCATAGCTGGCTTCCAGAGGACAAAGTTGAAAGCTTTATAGCAGATAGAGTGAGACTTCAGTTAATTTCTGTTCTGCAGAACTGGAGCAACAAATGTGAGTACTATTACACATGTGAAAACAAACTATGCTAATGAAAGAGTAAGATCCATTTCCAACAGCTTTCATTAGGATGAATCTATTGACTTTTTATTTGCAATGACATCTTTGTAACTTAAACTACCAAGCTAGAAATCCAGAGATCCCTTACAATATATTAAAATTCACAGAAGGATCCACTCAGAATTAATGGTGTAATTTAAATAAACAGAGTAGTATAGCAGACTAGGCGGCTCTTACAAGATGTGATTTTGTATAAGTACAAGGGGTGTTGCACTTCCTAGACTATTCAGTATCTGCATCAATAGAGATCCCAAAGCATATCATAAATTGGCAAAGTTCTCCTAAGTATACGGAAGTCAACATCTACTTTATAATAACAACAGTATACACAGCTTTGGTTCTATTCTTATGATAACACCGAAAGGCTCCATACAGAATGTGGGGTTTCACTGTGTAGAATATTGCATTAATACCTGGAAGAATATAGTCCATGGCAAAAGCACTTTAAAAATGTAGTTCTCTTGACTTAGGATGTTTGGATGAAAATACAGATCAACTTTTACACAGAATCAAATGTCATGCCCAGAATATTTTTTTTTAAAACAAGTTATCTTCTAAAAATTATTAAGTCAAAGGAAGAAAAGGAACACTAATTCACTCTTCCAGTTAGACAAACAGATAACAGCCATTCATCATCCAGATTTAAATCAATTTTTCTCAGCCAGGATAACAAATAGCAAGAAAAAAACATTATTGCTTCCCTATTACAAAAATAGTTACAAGCATGACAACTAACAGTGCATTTCTAGAATATCAGGGAACTTGTGACTTACACTACTTTTTGAGCTTTGAAGGCCTCACATTTTGCCATATAATAGAACACTGTCACCTAATAACAACTGCCTGAACAAGGTTTGCAGTAAAACACAGGTTTGCTATAAAACTGAGACAAGTGGATGGGAAAAAAAAACAAAAACAAAGACCAACCAACAAAAAACCTCAACCAACTCTGAAAGAGCAGAACTACGTCCTCCAAAACAAATCTCTTTGTATTACTCATACAGCACTGCCACAGCATTTGATCCCATCATAAATACATGTAGTCGCAGAGAACCACTTATCTGAGCAGGGAAACTTATTTCAAAGATCTAGGAATAGGTTTGTCCTGTTGTACCACAGTCATTGCTACAAAATCAGCAGCTGAACCCAAATCACAAAATTCTAACTGGGACTGAATCACAAGACCATTACTTTCCTGATAAATGTGTAACATGCTCTAGAAATCTATTTGCAAATTTCCTGCTTTTAGAAATTGATTTTGCTGGTGGGGGGTGTTTAGTTCACTAATACCTACTTTCTGCAGAAAAATTACATTCAGTTTTCCTTTGAATACATACAATCAACCTGTTCTAAGCACAAAGACATCACCTTAAGGAGAAGGAATTTGAAGAAGTGTATCTTTTATGCAAAGTCACGTTTCAGCTTATAATTAATGACCTATCTGTATAAAGTCTACTCTGACAAGGACTCCAAGTGGAGCATCATAGGAAAAACACATTCTTAGAGCTTTACAGTTTATCTGTACATGAGGACTGAAGAAAAAGACAAGTAAATGATATAGAGTCAGTGCACAGTATAAAAACTCTTAAAAAAGCCCAACCAACCAAACAACCCAAACCAACCAACCGCCTCCTAAAGATATACTTCAAGCTAGAAGGGACTATCTGATGGAAACACTCAAGACAGGCATAGTGCGTACATGGTCATGTTGCCCACTCACATAAAGCATCTCTACTTCATTCTTAATTTTTTCCCTTTTCTATCGTTCCTTTTTCCACATTATTTGAGTGAAAAGAGAACAAGGTATTATTCTTTTGATCTCTACTCACTGCTACGGGGAAGGGAAGTAAGAAAAAAATGCTTTAAAAATTTCCTATCCCTATGCTACCTGCACTTAATTCTCAGAAACCCCAAACTATTACATCAAATTCAGTCTTGAAATCGTCAGCTATTTGAAACAGTAGACTGGGAACAGAGGAAGGAAATAGCACCCATGGTCTCAGCCCTGTCCACAGCTCTGAAATGGTTTGCCCTTCAGGGCAAATGTAACAATTACTAAAAATACTACTGCTTTATAAAGACACGGGTCTTACATAATAACGTGCTAACAGTATACTAC